GCTTCTGAAGTATTGGCGATGAAATGGGTGTACCACGTCGCTTGATGCGTGCTTTCAGGTAAGTATGCAGCGCATCACGCAAATGAAGTCGTAGAAAGTAACGCTGAAATAATTGTTGCAACTCCCTCTCGCATTCCTCAAACTCTGACATGTGAGCGGGCCGAATTTTTTGGAGTGCCTCTAGTCTCTGCTTGATTCTCTCCTGCTCTGCTCGCTTGCGCAAAAGCTTAGAGTTGAGCGCATTAAGTTCGACACGTGCATTCTCTAGTTGGGCACGACTGGACTGCAGCTTCAGGTGGCTGGCCTGGATAGCGTTCTTCAAAGTCCGCTCCACGCTGACTGTTTCCATTGCGCGTTGTACCTGCGCTACACGCACTGACTTGTTGATCAGCTCCTTAGACAGCAGATCGAAAAGACCGGCGCCGCGTTGTGTTAAATCCGAGGATAGGTCGCGAGCTCGACGCAACGCATCCATTTTATCGCCAATGTCTGCTTGATTGAGACTGCAATCTTGCTCTCGTTCCTCATCTCTATTCTCGGCATCTTCTTCTATGAGTGTAGGCGCAATGAGCAGACTTGTTATCTTCTGTAACTCAGTGCAACTAACAGCCGCGGCGGCATAGAGTTTACGCGGATTAAGCTTTATGGCTGCCTTTGTAACAAAAAATTCAGTGGCGACGCGTATGAGCAGCACACGCTGTTCCTCCGTCTCCACATTACCGGCTAGAATAACGCCCGGCTCCAGCAGCCCAGAAACCCACTGTATTACCTCGGCCACAATATAAAAGTTAGCTAGGCTACCATGATGAGTGGCGAGTGCTTGGAGCGGAAGCACCCGTGGAAAGCCCAACAACTTGAGTTGCTCACTCAAATCTGATGGACGAAAGCATCAACAAAACGGATGATAGGATAGCAAAAATTGAAAAAGTTATAGCCGCAGCCACAGCCACTGCTCAAGCACTCACCACGCACATCCTTAAACGACATCCTGCTTGCTTTATCCAATTTCAACTRAATACGCGATTAATCCAGCAAAATAAGATACATATGTACACGTTTTACCTTATTTGTTGTGGCTCTTCTGACCGCACCATTGCTTGGCAACCAGAACCACTTCCTGGTAACCGCATGGTTACTAAAAAGTCCACACGCCATATACAATTTTTTTTT